TTTCAAATTCGGACACACTAGACCACTTAATCAGATTTTTTTTTTAATTGGATTAACGATTCCTAGCGATTGGACCTAGTACAATCAAGGAGGAGCTCAGGAAAGAAATGAACATACAAAGGAATCAACACTGGCGCAACTCTACAGGTCTACATCAAGCAAAGCACCTACTAGGAGGTTACAACCTTACGAGGTACAGGGCAATTATTAATCTCTCCAAAGGAAAGTTAAGGATAATAACAAGGTTTCTGAAGGTTCACTGTAGACTGAAAGGCCACCTACACAAACTAGGTATCTGGTCAAACGACCAATGTCGTTTCTGCGATGTGACTGAGGAGAGTCCTGTGCACCTGCTTAGCGAATGCGAGGCGGTCGCGAGAAGACGGGCTAAGGGTTATACTCCCTAAGCGCGGACGAAGGCCGCCTATGCAGAAAGAAGTTATGTCCCACTTCTCCGACAACACAGAAAGGAGAATTCCGAGAAGTAAGGGTTATAATTCCTAAGCGCGGCCGAAGGCCGCCTACGCATAAAGATATTCTGCCCCACTTCTCCGGCAACACATAATCCTCGTAATTTAGCCGTGGATCCTCGGCAATTTTACCGTGGATCTACGGTAATTTTTACCGTGGACCTTTGGTAAAAGTTACCGTGGCGCGTGTGTAGACATTGCCTAAGTTTTAACTATTTCAGCTATTTGGCGATATATTTTCCCTATTCTTTCCGGCACGCGAGCAGATCTCGAGATCTCTCCCATAAATCTTCTTGAATATATTGATTGCCCTCGACTATGACAGACGCTCAAAAGTTTTGTGCGCTTACAGGCTAACCTAATATTCACGCACGCCGCCAATTTATTGTCAAAAATTTCTCATGCACATGCAACTTGTATGAGATTAACCGAAATTGAACGGCGTGCGTATGATCAATTTCCAATTTTTGTTCTGCGTGACATTTTGATTTGACGTTTCGCTCAATGAAATCAAATGCAAACGCATGCAAGTGAATTTCGGGTGACGCAAAAAAACAAATTCGACGGCATGCGTACCAAAACGCAAGCCGCGAATATTAGGTTAGCTTATTACTGACATTTTTTTATCAATATTTATTTATTTTCTGTGAGTCTGGGCTTCGCTATCTAAATGTTTAACTTTCTCTTGTCATCTGTGTCGATCTTTGCTACATATGTATAATGTGATATATATTTTATTTTATTTTTGTTTTAAGTAGTCTGTATGTATTTTGTTTTACTGGTATTTTTAATCTCTGTTTTGTACTATAAAAGATCTATGATCTTATTGTACTAATGCTTTTTCTCTTAATAAATGAAAATGAAATGAAATGAAATCGCTCCAAAGAGAATTGCCGTTTGTTTGATCCACGTTGTGTTCCGGTAAATTATCATTTTGAAACCGCTCCTCAACCATTCTAAATTTTGCAACCCGTTACTTTGCTTTGGCGACGCTTGTTATGAAAATATATGGAGAACTTTATTAGATTTCATTTTCCGTATCTCGTATTACGATTATTCAATTAGTTCGTAAGATATACGTGATTAAATGAAGCCACTATTTTTTTAAAGCTGAATAACGGTAAATTTTAAATATCTGCAAAAGTTACCCATAGAAAAAAAAAAGTATGTCGAGTTTCGGAATCACTGAGCAATTCTCTATAGGAATTGGATAGTGGCATCCATAGAACATCTTTGCTGTAAACTAGTGTAACTCTCGCAACACTGCGGCTGTGATTGCAACTCGAACAAGCCCAACATCGTAAAAAATATAGAAAATGTCAGGCAATGGCAAACTTCCGAGGGTATTTCTATAATGAAAAACAGCTTCTCATAAAAATAAAGTCGCTGCTCGGAGTCAAACAGTAGGTCCCTCCTCTTTGTGTGACAACATCAAGGTGTACGGCACTAATTGCAGGAGAAGCTTGACAATGACATACGTGTAAGCGCCAATCTATTATTATCTATATATAAATACGCCACATGAAAATTTTGCAATCCCTTTTTCGAAGGCACCGTTCGCTCGATTTCAATGAAACATACACCGATTTAAAGGATGTAACTTCCTCTAATCCAGAAATGTTAATCCCGATACATAGGGGCCGTGGCATCTGACATATAGACTAAAATGTGAAAACCACTATATCTCTAAAACCAATTACGCCGGGGAACTGAAACTTAGCACAGATGCATAGACTGTAAATACCCTACTTACGGTGAAAAATGGTAGGTACTGGGAAAGTGGGCGTGGCACCGCCCATACAAACTGAAATTTTCATATCGCTTATCTCTGGAACCGCGTACGCTAACGTCCCGAAAATTGGCACAGCAACATATGTTGTCAATACCGTACTTACGGCGAAAAGTGATAGATTTTGGAAAAGGAGGCG